GGGCGAGAGAGAAAGAGAAACATCCATGTGGGAGCGGAACATGCCTCCACGCCCCCTAACTGATGGAGCCCACAACCAGGGCGTGTGCCCTGACTGGTAATAGAACCAGCAACCTTTTGGTGCAAGGGATGATGTCCAACCAACTGAGCCGCACCAGCCAGGCGGCCACGAGTTTTTCACTGTGTGACTCTGGGCATCTCAGTGCCTCTGAGCCTCAGATACCTTCTTTGTTGTGAGGCCAGGAGGCTACATTTTACTCCTGTTTGATCCCCAATAACTAGCACATAGTAGGTGCTTAAAAGATACTTATAAATGAATGCATGCTTGGTGAGAAGCTGGACCAGATGATCCCAAGGAGACCTGTTAAACTTCCCTTTTTGTTTGTTGTTTTTCTTCTGCCGCTGCTCTGGCCCTCCACTAGAAATTCTCTGCCCTTCAGCTTCCCAAGGCGGGAGGGTATTGTTTCTGGAAGGACCCCGGGGACATCTGAGAAATGAGAAAATCAAAGGATTGCAGAATAGTGTCAGAAAACAAGAGAAATTGGCAACAAGTTCTTGTGTGTTTATTGGGGGAGAGCCTGAAGACAGTGTTTCTCTCCCAACTCACCTTTTTTCCTCTTTCCCCTTCTCCCTTCCTTCTTCCTCCTCCCCATTCAGTGCAATATACTGACTCCTACATAGAAATGTGCCCAAAGCACCCTCTTGTTATCAGAAAAGTACCCTGGTTCCTTAGCCCGGTGTCGGGGTTCCAAAGGAGTCACCCAAAGATGTGCTTCTGTGGTATGTGGATTGTTTTGAGCTAAAGGCAACTTTAGCTTCAGGCTCAAGAGACCTTCTGCCTCTCCCCTAACTACCTAGATCAGTGATGGCGAACCTTTTGAGCGCGGCGTATCAGCATTTTGAAAAACCCTAACTTAACTCTGGTGCCGTGTCACATATAGAAATTTTTTGATCTTTGCAACCATCGTAAAACAAAGACTTATATTTTTGATATTTATTTTATATATTTAAGTGCCATTTAACAAAGAAAAATCAACCAAAAAAATGAGTTCGCGTGTCACCTCTGACACTCATGTCATAGGTTCGCCATCACTGACCTAGATCTTGAATTGGGGGCCTTGTCCATAATAAGAGGTGATTAGCAGTAACCTTTTTGACCTAACTAGATGGCAGGGAAAACTGTTACTTAATAAACATCTGCTCTTATCATCCTGCAATGACCTATGAAGTCCCAAGGCTCCTTCCCTCATCCCTCGCTCAGAACGTCATATAATGATCCCTCTTCCTATGTCTGAACTTCTAATG